GTCTGGCAGTCATGTAATTCTCTTGCATCAATTTTTGAATTACTAGTGCAGATAAAATATTCAGCAACTGCTCTCCCACAATATCTTAATGCAGCTTCTGTTCTTACTCCTTTTCCTACTACTCAGATGCATCTTTTCTTTCACCTTCATGCATTCCCCCTCTTTTTTTTAACTTACTTTTGTTGTCCCAGATTTAGCTTTTTAATATTTAAAGGGTATAAGAGCAGAGGCCTTTAAACCAGTACAGTGGATACAGTATTGAACATACCAAGCTCTTAGAAGTACAATGCTGTGGCTTATGATGGAACAATAGCGGGTGCATATATGAACTACCTCCTTTTTTATCTTTCAGAATTTAATTTGTATACCTACTTTGTGGTCTATTTGAATTGTCATTGTAAGTGTGCTTAAAGGTTTAGGATGTTATTTTTTTATTATGCCCGCTTACTCATCTTGGAACTTCCACACTGTGAATATACTGTATGTATCTGTCTATTATTAAAGGATCCATTTTCCATTTTGTCACCCATGATTCTTTCTTTTTTTTTTTTTTATCCTCATATGTGTACACAGTATACCAAAGTTGTTTATCTGAATCTGTTTGTATTTTGTTTTGTGTGTGAAAAATCAATATTTGTGGAAATAAAAAAAAAAAATTCAGCGACTTAAAGTGGAACTTCACGCCGGCCCATTTTACAGGTGAAGCTAAGTAAAACATTAAAAATAAGTGCCTATACTGTTCAAAATCTAGTAATACACTGTCTCGCCCTGCTCTGCACATGCACAGTTGCTTTTTTTTTTTTTTTTTTTTAGGCACTGTGCTGAATTTGTGGCGGTCGATCTGCTGACAGCCTAAACATTTACAGCTGCTCAGGACTCTGGGCTTCAGCAAAATGGCAGCCTCCAGCAAGATGAAACAGGAGCAATGCAGGAGGCACACACTAATTTTGATAATAATGATTATTGTGGAATGTATGTTCCTTGCTATAGAAGATTATTTTTTTACCAAGTTGTTATAGATAAAGTTCCACTTTAAGAACCCGCTCACATCAGAACACTGAGTGGGAAACCTGCATTAAGTGCACATTTCCTGCACTGTGTTCAAAACGCACTGTCCTTGTAATCTGCAGAGGATGTCAATGTTAACTTAAAGTGTTTGTAAAGGCTCAAGGTTTTATACCTTCATGCAGCCGCCTGAATACTTACCTGAGCCCCATCGCGATCCAGCGATGTGCACAGGAGCCTCAGCTATCCGGGGACTCCCTCTCCTCACTGGCTGAGACAGCAGCAGGAGCCATTGGCTCCCTCTGGGGGATCTAAGAAGGAAAGGATATGGGCTGCTCTGTGCAAAATCACTGCACACAGCAGATACAGTACAGCACAGAGCAGGTACAGTAGTCCAATGTAATCCGGTTGCTGTGCATTTTTAAAAGTAGTGTATGCACTGTCTGGTGCGATTTCAGCCTATTCAAATGAATGGGCTAAATTCGTATTGCTCCCGGATTGCATGTGAATTGTACTGGAACACGCTTGATTCATGGTGTGAACCGACCTTAAGTCAGAACTTCTGACCTGCAATTTTGGTCCATGTTACAAAAAGTCCTAATGCCAGAGTATCAGCATCACAGCCAGGCAACTAGCATTTTCAGCAAGAGATCAGCAATGGCTTCATCACGCTAATCTTGACTCTAAGGATTCATTCACACGTGTTTGCCAATCCATATGCTAGTTGAAGGGCCCTCTTTAGCCACCCCTGATGCATAGATATTCTGTGCAGGGTCATGCAGGCAGCCTGTTGAATTCAGTGCCAGGCACTCGGTTGCACAGACCTCCACACACGTCCCAGGGTGTACATCTGTATGGGTCCAATGCACAGGTCAGGCTGCAGTCCGTCTGTGTCCTGATCTGTACATCAGACTCACAATAATATGCATTCTGGGATACGTGTGGAGGTCTGTGCAGCTGGGTGCCTGGCACTGATTTCAACAGGCACTCCTGCCTTCTCTCCCTGGCCACTATGCCCATCACACTGACAGCAAGGCCAGGGCAGGTGGGAATAGGTTAATCTGCCATGCTATCCCCCTAATTTACTACAGAAAGCATGAAGGTTGTAGCTGGGCCCTTGGACATCCACTAGGCCATAGGTTCCTGCCTAGGTTGACTTGTGGATGATGCAGCTCTGCCTCTGAAAGATCGAATAAATAGAATTTGACAGAAACACCCTTCCATTCTTCTCCTAAAATAGTTCAGCTAGGGGATGCATACTAACATACATCACCCCTAGACACAGGGCTGTTGCTCAGTACAACATAACCAACCAGATCCAGTGGTATCTCTCTAGTGTTTACTTTTGTGCCATTACAATGGTCCAAGTACGAAACTCTTGAATACCCAAAATCATTACCTCATTCTTTCCCCCCATGTGGGATCCATAAATGCTCTTAGGATTTTTTTGGCCCAGCTACAACCTTCATACTTTCTGTTGCAAATTAGGAGGATAGCACAGCAGATTAACCCCTTCCCACCTGCCCTGGTGTTCCTTTAAATAGTGGGAAGGACTGGAAATCATGTGACCACCACTGTCACAGTGGTCCCATGATTGAAAGCCGGTCCCACTGTCTACCAATCTTTGTCCTGGACTGAGTGCTTTCTTTGTGCTGAAACCGTGCTCTCAGAGTATAAACATTGTCTGCCCAGTGACGTCTATGTGAAAGCCAGTCCTTTTGCTGCTGCACATAGGTGTTGGGTGGTCATAAAGGACTTTGGATCCTAGTCTCAACCTATATGAGAGAGCCCACCAGAAAGCTGTCACCTATGCTGGGCCAATCATCTGCAGCTGGGCTATTTCCCTGCCCCACAGCCACGCATATACAAGGGGGACATACGCATGTGGCTGTGGGGGTGGGGAATGGCTTGGCCACAGATGACTGGCCCAGTACAGGTAGCAGTTTCTCTGTGCCTATCCTAATCCATGTCAAAGGAAGGATGAAGAGCTCAAGGTGCTTCCCTAGTGTCCCATGCTGCCGTAACCCCTTCCTACCCGCCCTGGCATCCCTTAAAAATGTTCTGAACGCCCAGGCGTGGGAAAGATCAGCAATCATAGCGAGAAGTATGTCACCGGCACACCAGGACCTCTGAAACAGGTCCAAAGCTTTATTCAGTGATCACTTCATGGTTATAATAACGACGATTCAGAGCCAAGCAGGACTGCGTGGCTCTGAAACATTGCTATTCAAACCATGACGCAATCGCTGAATAAAGCTTTGAACCGGTTTTGGAGATCCTAGTGTGCTGGTGACATTTATCGCTTTGCGTGTTCTTGGTTCCATTCAGTGGTCACTGCAGCCAGTTTCAGTTCTCCTTGGAACTCTGGTTCTGCTTCTCAGAACATGTGACAGTGCACATCATCTGCGTGGTAAGGCAGTGATAATGTAGCCTTCTCAGGATACATCTGTGAAGATAGGGTTACATCACCAGAACCTCACTCAACCAGGACTTGGGAAAACAATAAAGATTAGTAAAAGCAAACAATGTTTGTTTAACTAATGAATGTAGGGTGGAGGATCAGCAATCGTAGCGAGAATTATGTCACCAGCAGACCAGGATCTCCAAAACAGGTTCATAGTTTTATTTAGTGATCACAACATGGTTATAATAGCAATGTTTGGAGCCAAACAAGACCCCTTTGTCAGGCATATGAGAGATGTGTCCTGCGCGGCTCTGAACACTGCTATTATAACCATGACGTGATCGTTGAATAAAGCTTTGGACCTGTTTTGGAGATCCTGGTGACATATTTCTCGCTTTGAATGTTCCCGGTTCCAGATGTTGACGGGTGCTGCTGTGACCACCGTCTGGAACCGAGAACATTCAAAATGAGAAATACGTTACTGGCACACCAGGATCTCCAAAACAGGTCCAAAGCTTTATTCAGCGATCACGTCATGGTCATAATCGCAGTGTTTCAGAGCCAGGGAGGACACATCTGTCACATGCCTGATGAAGGCATCCCGCTTGGCTCTGAAACATCGCTTATATAACCATGATGTGATCGCTAAATGAAGCTTTGGAGATCCTGGTGTGCTGGTGAGAGATTTCACGCTTTGAATGTTCCCGGTTTTAGATGTTGACGGGTGCTGCTGTGACCACCGTCTGGAACCGAGAACATTCAAAGCGAGAAATACGTTACCGGCACACCAGGATCTCCAAAACAGGTATACGCTTTAATCAGCGATCACGTCATGGTTATAATCGCAGTGTTTCAGAGCCACGCAGGACACATCTGTCCTCATGCCTGATGAAGGCGTCCTGCTTGGCTCCGAAACATCGCTTATATAACCATGATGTGATCGCTGAATAAAACTTTGGACCTGTTTTGGAGATCTTGGTGTGCTGGTGAGAGATTTCTCGCTTCAAATGTTCCCGGTTCCAGATGGTGATCACTGCAGCGCCCATCAACATCTACAGCCATTTTCAGGAACCTGGGTTGGGAATATACTTGGGATCAGCACAGCAATCGCAACCACTGGGATGGTCTGTCACAGTGGTCATGTGATCGGGAGCCGGTCTTACCAGCCGCTGACCATTAATGAGGACTGAGAGCTCTCTTTACCAGCTCAGTCCCCGTGCTGTGAGTGTAGAAACGTTGTCCGCTCAGTGAAGCATATGGACAGTAAAGCCCATCCTATAGCCCAGGGTAGGTATTTTATCTCCGCTGGGAGGTCAGATCTTCTAACCAACACAGCATCTCTCTTGATACCTTCAACAGGAAGCCAAGGTAACCCATCAGGAAGGAACCCCCCCTCCCTGAAAATGATGTGTGGAGGCAGAAAGTTGCCAGCCATGACTATGTGGGAGTCTCCCTCATTCCTAGGAAGGATAAACACTCGGGTCAAAGGAGGAAGCCGTGATGTCGGCGCTCACATCACCCTGACAAAGAAGACACAAGGGCATCCCATGCCTCCTCCCCTTCAGTAAGGTCGGCCTACCTTTACACTCACCTTGGACAATGTGGCCGCCCAGGTGAGGAGAAGAACGGAGCTCTTCATTCTGGCTTACTGTCGGTGCCCTCAAACCGGGTGAACACATCAAGAACACTGCCAGTCAGCTGTTACTCAGTCAGCCCCATGCTCTGCGCATGCGCACTGAGCCATTGCCGGGTTCTTTCCCAGCCTCCCGTCCTCCTCTCGGACGCAGGGATAAGGGTCCCTGGCTGGGAGTGGAGAGAGGATCATGACGTCATTCCAGTCATCTTCATCTCCTGCCTTCTGCAATACTGCATGTTACAGGCACAAGGAGAAACCAGCAGAGGGCGCTCCTGTGAATAAAAACGATGTCTTGGATCAGCGCACTATGAGTTTCACTTTTCACCACCGGGAGAGCTATAAGAACCAATTTGATATTATAAATGAATACAACCATTAAAAAATGATACAACATTAATGGAACTACGCTTTCTGGTAATAAATAAAGTTGGGTGAAACGACGTGCACTAGAGCACAACTGTTTCGTAAATTCAACACCACGTGGTAGCCATGTTGTCGAAGACCAACACCCGTGAGGTTAAGGCTGTGGCCTTCTAAAAAATGGCTCTTGTATCGAGGACAGAAAAACCGGAATTCTAGGATAACATTGGCCAGATTTTGGACGCTACTAAAAATAGGGGTCAAACATAAGATTTTGTGTTTAATAAAGATATACACCCGCTGTTGGTTTTCTTCAGAATGGTATAAACAGCTTTTTATATTTTTTTCTTGCGGAAGGAGAATTAAGACAGGATGAGGATTGGGGGTTGTGTGTGTGAAGTGGAATCATTCGGTCACCCCCATTAAAGTGGAAGAGGCCGGGTCGGGAGGTAAAGGCGCGGAAAGATGGCGGTAGGTGGTGGTGGGAATGGAATAAGAAGTTGGCAGTTTATTTTGCAGTTCCTATGACTAAGGTCTGGCAGTATGTTCCGTATTCTAGCGTACGGACGTAGACTGTGTAGTGGGCTCTAACGGTGTGCTCTGGACCACGTGGCACTGCCATAGACATGTGTTTCAGGGACTTAGGCTGAGTTCACACTTGCTTTGTAGGCAGGAGGTTGAGGGGCATTTTTAACGCTCCTCAAACACCTATGAAAATTCTGCACATGGCAGCACACAGTGTTGTTCACACTGAAGTGTCACGTCATGGCAAAATTGACGCCTCATGTCCAGTCAGAAGGAGTTGAAGCCTTTCAATGCCTCCAGTTCAAGTCTATGGTGATGCTTCTCAAATATCTGGCAGGCCTTTGTGGGGCGTTAATACCATTAACTTCATTATAGGTGTTTGTGGTACGGATTTAAAGCTTGGAAAATGCCTAAAAAACGCGCATAGGGCGTTTTTGAGGAGTGTTAAAACGCTACCGAAACGCCTGGCAAACTCTATAGGGGCGTTTGGGAAGAAGTCAAGTGTGAACAAGCCCTTAACCACTTCAATGCCAGGCACCCCCTTCCTGTCCAGGCCAATTTTCAGCTTTCAGCGCTGTCACACTTTGAATGACAATTGCGCAGTCATGCAACATTCTATCCATATGACATTGTTTATCATTTTTTTTCTCACAAATAGAGCTTTCTTTTGGTGGTATTTACTCACTGCTGGGGGTTTTACTTTTTGCGCTATAATCAGAAAAAAGCAAAAAATTTGAAAAGAAAAAGTTTCTTTGTTTCTATTATAAAATTTAGCAAACAGGTAATTTTTCTCCTTCACTGATGTGCATTGATGAGGCAGCACTGATGGGCACTGATAGGCGGCACTGATGTGCATTGATGAGGCTGCACTGATAGGCAGCACTAATGTGCATTGATGAGGCTGCACTGATGGGCACTGATAGGCTACACTGATGTGCATTGATGAGACGGCACTGATAGGCAACACTAATGAGGTGGTACTGATAGGTGGCACTGCTGGGTGGCACTGCTGGGCACAGGAGGGCGGAACTGGTGGGTGGCACTGCTGGGCACTGATCATCAAGGCGGTAGGTGGTGGTGGGAATGGAACAAGAAGTTGGCAGGTTTTTTTTGCAGTTCCTATGACTAAAGGTCTGGCAGTATGTTCCGTATTCTATGGTACGGACGTAGACTGTGTACTGGGCAGCACTGGTGGGTGGCACTGATGGGCACAGGTGGGCGGAACTGGTGGGTGGCACTGCTGGGCACTGATCATCATGGCAGCACAGGGTGGCACAGGTGGGTGGCACTGTTGGGCACAGGTGGGTGGAACTGCTGGGCACTGATCATGGCAACACAGGGTGGCACTGCTGTGCACAGGTGGGCGGAACTGGTGGGCACTGATCATCATGGCAGCACAGGGTGGCACTGCTGGGCACTGATCATCATGACAGCACAGGGTGGCACTGCTGGGCACAGGAGGGTGGCACTGCTGGGCACAGGTGGGTGGAACTGGTGGGTGGCACTGCTGGGCACTGATCATCATGGCAGCACGGTGGCACTGCTAGGCACAGGAGGGTGGCACAGGTGGGCGGAACTGGTGGGTGGCACTGCTGGGCACTGATCATCAGTGCCGATCCCTGCTCTGACAGCTGCCGGTTCTCAGTAGTACTTTCCTCACACTCTGACAGCATGAGGAAAGTGCAGCCGAGAACCGGCAATTGCATTTCCCGGAGATCAGCTTGTCAGAGTGAATGCATACCTCCCAACTGTCCCTGATTTCGAGGGATTGCCCTTGATTTGGAACAAATCCCCATTTGTCCCTCATTTTGGTCTGATCTATATAGTTGTATATAAAATGACTGTCTTTCAAAAAGTGTTTCCCAGTACTAAACCTTTCATCCAATTTATAAATGGTTGCATTTGTAAACTTCAAAAGCCAGTATAAAGGGATAGTAGTTGTGTTAAAAAAAAAAACACTTGTGAGTTTAACAAAAGATTCTTTTTTTTTTTTTGTATAATCCTCCTAAGGGGGCATGGCAGGTGGTGTGTCCTATGCCTACATACATTTGCTAATAGGTGTCCCTCATTCCCATCTCAAAAAGTTGGGAGGTATTTGAATGCAGGGTCATGGGTTCACCACTAGTCCACTTAACACTCCCCTCCTCCTAGACTGACAATGTTGCAGTCCAAAGATGCCCCTGTGCTCCTTCATCCAGAGTTGAGGCACTCCAATACAGGAGGTGTGTTATTAGCCAGATCACCAGAAAACGGAGGGAAGAAAGCTAATGTAGCCACCATGTCTGATTGTTAAGCTGCAATATATTACATTTTTGGATTTGGGTTTAATATTGCTTTGATTAAAGTGGAACTAAACCCTCCTCTCCTTTACCATCAAAAAGCTGCCATCTTAGCCTCCGTTTGATTTGCAATTGCCATGGTGCTGCTCATGTGATTAGTTAAGACACCAGCTGTGTGGTGATTTGACAGTTTGGCTGAAAGTGGAAGCAAATATGACAGCATCCCTGGCATGCCAGGAATGTAACTGTTTTTTGAAATCGTTAAGTCGATGGGTATGGCAGTATAGTGGCTTCTCTGTGCTTGATCACGTACCTAGTACATGATATGTGCTCCCACCGACCCAGCTGTGATGTGATTCGTTACAGCACAAGCAGATCTGCGGGTCTCGGCCAATGACTGACTGCCGGGACCCATTGATTGTCTCAGCGATTCACAGAGGTTGAACGAGTGCTGACGGGATTTTGTTATTTTTTTTTATTCTCTGCTAAGAAAGATTCTTGGGAAAAGCAACACACAGTACATAGTTAGGCACACAGTTAACCTCTTGATCACCCTAGATGTTAACTCCTTCCCAGGGGCGGACTGACAACTCATGGGGCCCCCGGGCAATAGGGGATCATGGGGCCCCTGTGTCCTTTCCCAAACTCAAAAAAGCCTATGAAAAAGGTACCAGGGGCATCTCATGGGGTCCCCTACTGACCCCGAGCCCTCTGGCAGTGCCCGAGTTTCCAAATGGTCAGTCCGCCCCTGCTCCTTCCTACCCAGTGTCATTAGTACAGTGACTGCCTTATGTTCACTGGTGATGTCAGTGGCAGTTATTTCCCACAAAGTGTCATTTAGTGTCAGACTGCCCGCAGCACTATCGCAGTCCTATTATACGTAGCTGATCACTGCCATTAGTATATAAAAAAAAAATTCTAGTATATATCTTATAGTTTGTAAACACTATTACTTTCAAACCAATCAATATACACTTATTGGGTTTTATTTTTTCTGAAGACACATAGCAGAATACATTTTGGCCAGAATTTATGAAGAAACTTGATTTAAAAAAAAAAATATGGATATGTTTTATAGCAGAAAGTAAAAAATAGTTGTTTTTTTCAAAATTTTCATTCACAAAAAATAAAAAAAAAACCCAGTGGTGATCAAATACCACCACCAAAAAAAAGCTTGCGATTTCTGTGAAAAAAAAATTATATAAATTTCATTTGGGTACAGTGTTGCATAATTGCACAATTGTCAGCTAAAGTAACGCAGCGCCAAATTGCAAAAAATGGCCTGGTCATGAAGGGATAAAACCTTCCGGAGGGCAAGTGGTTAATTCCGCTTTAACTGTTTTGAGAAACCGTTAAATTATTGGGTTTAGTTTTGAAGCTGTCAATCTTCTGGAGCTCCCTCTCCTGTCACCATTTTTCTCTTGTGGTCAGGAAAACTTGTCAGAAGTGGTACATGCTGATAGCAGAGGAACAGGGCAGTAGACAGAAATGACACTTAGTGATCTTAATTGACACAAGTACACACTAAAGAGGGATAATGCCTTGTTCATTTTTCATGTCTGAGGTTTACAACCACTTTAAGATTTGAAAATGAGCTAGAAGTTGATTGGTTGTCATGCAGAGCTGCTACACATTTTGGGGGGAATTCAATTAAGTTGTTGCATCACTTCTCTGGCAGTAAAGTGATATTAAAGGCTTACAAGTAAAAAAAATAAAAAAATAACAAATGCATCATACTTACCTACTTGCCCCTGCCCACTTTTCTCATTGGCTCACTGACTGTAATTGACAGCAGTGGGAGTCAATGGCTCCCACTGCTGTCTCAGCCAATGAGAAGAGAGGATTGCCAAGATTCAGAGGGGGCTTAGGTGAGTATTTGGGGGGGGGGGCTTTTTTGCCAATTCTTCTTTAAAAATAGCTCAAGCTCTGTCAGATTGGATGGAGAGCGTCTGAACAGCAATTTTCAAGCCACAGATTCTCAATTGGATTTAGGTCTGGACTTTGACTGGGCCATTCTAACACATGAATATGCTTTGATGTAAACCATTCCATCATAGCTCTGGCTGTATGTTTAGGGTCGCTGTCCTGCTGGAAGGTGAACCTCTGCCCCAGCCTCAAGTCTTTTGCAGACTCTTAACAGGTTTTCTTCTTTGATTGCCCTGTATTTGGCTCCGTCCATCTTCCCATCAACTCTGACCAGCTTCCCTGTCCCTGCTGAAGAAAAGCATCCCCACAATATGATGCTGCCACCACCATGTTTCACGGTGGGGATGGTGTGTTTTAGGTGATGTGCAGTGTTAGTTTTCCGCCAACATGTAGTGTTTTGCTTTTAGGCCAGAAAGTTCAATGTTGGTCTCATCTGACCAGAGCACCTTCTTCCACATGTTTGCTGTGTCCCCCACATGGCTTCTCACAAACTGCAAACGGGACTTCTTATGACTTTCTTTCAACAATGGCTTTCTTCTTGCCACTCTTCCATAAAGGCCAGATTTGTGGAGTGCATGATTAATAGTTGTCCTTTGGACGGATTCTCCAACCTGAGCTGTGAATGTCTGCAGCTCCTCCAGAGTTACCATGCGCCTCTTGGCTGCTTCTCTGATTTAATTCTGTCCTTGCCTGGCCTGTCAGTTTAGGTGGACGACCATGTCTTGGTAGGTTTGCAGTTGTGCCACAATCTTTACATTTTCAGATGATGGATTGAACAGTGCTCTGTGAGATGTTCAAAGCTTGGAATATTTTTTATAACCTAATCCTGCTTTAAACTTCTCCACAACTTTATCCATGACCTGTCTGGTGTGTTCCTTGGCCTTCATGATGCTGTTGTTCACTAATGATCTCTAACAAACCTCTGAGGGCTTCACAGAACAGCTGTATTTATACTGAGATTAAATTACACACAGGTGGACTCTATTTACTAATTAGGTGACTTCTGAAGGCAGTTGGTTCAACTAGATTTTAGTTCCGGGTATCAGAGTAAAGGAGGCTGAATATAAATGCACACCACACTTTTCAGATATTTATTTGTAAAAAATGTTTAAAACCATTTATCATTTTTCCTTCCTCTTCACAATTGTGTACCACTTTGTGTCTATCACATAAAATCCCAATAAAATATATTTATGTTTTTGGTTGTAACATGACACAATGTGGAACATTTTAAGGGATATGAATACTTTCTCAAGGCACTGTATATGTGCAATGATGTGCATTTTCATTTGCATTGTGTTTTTATGTTTGGTATGCATTGTTATGCCATCCGTTGTGCAGTGACAGGTCCCTGGAAGTCAAAACACTAATAACAATTTTATTTTTTCATTCTTTATGTTCAGTTGTGTTTACATACGTTGGTGTGCATTTTGTTAACCGCTTTAGCTCCACCCTATAGCAGAAATACTGCTACAGAGTGGCAAATGTGCACAAAATTACGTGTGTATATATACGTGATTTTGCATTTTCTGGTAGGGGGTGTGCGTGAGGTGGGTGCGCACTATACCTGCACCGCCTTTCATGGCCGCAGCTGTCAATCACCGGGTCCCGGCTGGTGATTGCCGAGGATCTCCGATGGGGGGAGAACTGTTAGGGAGGAGAACTGTTTTCTTTACTATCAGGTCCTGCACACTGCTTTGCATGGCAGTGCACAGCACAGCCATGCAAAGCAATGTGCTTACAGTGAAGCACAAACACAGAACATAATGTAAAATGGCACACAGTTAACCCTTTGATCGCCCCACATGTTAACCCCTTTCTGCCCAGTGCCATTAGTACAGTGTCAGTGCTTTTTATTAGCTAGTGTCACTGGGGATGTCGGTGACACCAAGTCTGTTCCCCCCAGTGTCAGAATTCCGGCCGCAGTCCTGCTATAAGGTGCTGATTTCCACCATTACTAGTAGTAAAAATCAAATTTGCCAGTTATCGCAGTCCTTTTCTTACGCTGTGACAGCACAAGAAAAGTACTACCGATAACTGGCAGGTGTGAAAGGAGACATCTACACTGATCAGGGCACTGTGACGTAGGAAAGTACTGCCAATAACCGGCAAGTAATCATTGCCCTGATTATCAGTGCAGCCCAACAGAGCTCATCAGTGCTGCCTATTAAATGCCAAACAGTTTCCATCAGTGCTGCCTCATCAGCGCACATCAGTGAAGGAGAAAAATTACCTGTTTGCAAAATTTTACAATAGAAACTAAGAAAAACAGCTTGTTTGTTTTCTGTTTGTTTAGCAAAAAATAAAAAACCCAGTGTTGATTAAATGCCATCAAAAGAAAGCTCTGTTTATAAAAATTTCATATGGGTACAATGTTGCAGTGACGGCGCAATTGTCATTCAAAGTGTGAAAGCGCTGAAAGCTGAAAATTGGCCTGGGCAGGAAGGGGGTAAAAGTGCCGGGTAGGCACGTAGTTATTCAAAACTATACACTATTACCATATCTTGGTATTGTTTAGCCATGACTTGTTTTGAAATACTTAGACTAATATATGAAGTATATTAAGCAGCCTATACTGTAAGCTGTTGTCCCTATCTATTGCAGCAATACTACTTTGTAATCATCTCTCATTTTAAATGTGTTTAACAGGGAAGGGGAAAGTAGTGCAGCACTCTTCCAATCAAATCTGTGAGAGCGTTGTTGCCACAGGGAAGATGGAGAATGTGTCATGTGCATTTTTTATTTTTTTTTGTGCATAAATATTCAACATTTATGTATTTTTCTGCACAGAAAAAAAACTCACATGACTCCAGCATTGTGGTGGGAATAGGACACACCTAGAAAACAATTGTTTTTTTTCTTTTTGTCCTTGCAGAGACTTTGGGAAAACACGTCAAACCAATGCGTTTTTTTTTTCCCAATGGTTTTTTTTGCAGGTATGATGGGAATGAGACCTAAGGAAAGATATTAAAGCTTAGAGATGTCTGTACTAGAACAACGTCAGGGAACTTATCTTTTATAAGTTTGTTTTTTTTTTTTGTTTTATTTATAAAGTTGAAATAAAATGTTGCCTCCTTTCTTTTTTTTTTTTTTTCTTATCTACTCCTTATTCCTAAGTAGCAGAAAATTAATTTTATACTTTGAATTTATCCTGTCTAGGATAAGGAAAAGAAGAAAAAGGAAAGTATACTTGACCTGTCCAAATACATAGATAAGACCATTCGGGTGAAATTTCAGGGTGGCAGGGAAGGTACGTATGTAAGAAGTATGTACTGAGAGAGTTGCATGTATTTTACACAGCTCAGGCATTGGGTTGGCTCTGTCGTTAGTAGAAATGGGGCAAAGCACTCTGCTTTTATCAACTTTATATAAGCATCAAATTTAGGAAGGTAGCTTTCTGCTGGCAAATAATGTCTTCTGACTGGTTTGTTAGGCAAACCTGACCACAGTGTTGACTTGTACTTACCTGTACTCATGGAGAGAAGTCTCTGTAGCCCTTTGCATTGTATGTATTCCTATAATTACCTGTTGGAAATTGGCGTTGTTAATTGATAAACTCACTGCTTTGTAATCTAACATATCGTTTCATATAAAATATAGTGGGCCAATTCACACTAGTGCAGTGCACTCTATATTGAATGGAAACCCAGTGCATCTAGGCAGCTCAGCACAACAGACTTGTCTTGTAGCATACCGCAATGCCCAGATGTAAAGCATTTTTGTGTTTTAAATAAATAAATAGCATGTCTGATTTTGCCATGTTAAGATGCACAGCTTAACACATGTTAATTTATTGCATTATTGCCCATACTATAACTTGGAGCATAACATGAATGGGCCTTTAAGGGTGCACATAGTCATCCCTTCCCATACCAGTCAAAGGATTCAGCATACTGACCAGAATGCTAATGGATAATTCTGGCCATTTTTATTTCTCTCCAATATTTAATATTGTCTTGCTTATCCCTGTTTGGGAGATAAAAAGATTTTTATAGTTGGGAAATGCTATATTTTATATGGGGTGCATAAATTGTTGTTGGGCATTTTATTAGGTCTGCAGTAGATAAGCTAGCAATAATTTTCTGATTGTTCATTCCCAGTAGGCATTCAGTGCATTTTTATTGATCTGTTTAGCTATGTGGTACTATGTGGAACTCATCAGATTAAAGCTGTTTTCTTTCTGGTGATTGTGTGCATGTTGCTAATAAATGTCTGCTGCTGCTAGCATTTTTACTTTTGTTTTCTCTTTTTAGCAAGTGGAGTTCTGAAAGGATTTGACCCTCTATTGAATCTTGTATTGGATGGAACCATAGAGTATATGAGAGGTGAGGGTTAACTTCTGTCTTCGATATTTTGCACACAACAAAAAGAGCACACAATTCTATCCGCCAGTTTTATTCCTTATATGGGAAATGTATTGCTACATGTTGAATGACTTGGTTTAGGGTTAATGCCAGTAGGACAAATCCCTCAGCATGATTCTTAGAGCTTTTGATGGTCAGATCTGAAATTTGAGTTCTCATGGCAGTCCTAATTAAGTGGTTTTCTGCAGTAATTTGCCAGAAAGTGTGATGTGATCCTCAGCAAAGCCACAGCCATAGACAAACACAGTGTGCCTAAGATGATAACACACAAACGATTCTAATTTCTCTTGTTTTTTTTGAACATGCCCATTAACCACTTGCCTACCAGGCACTTATACCCCCTTCCTTACCAGGCCAATTTTCAGCTTTCAGCGCTGCCGCACTTTGATTGACAATTGCGCGGTCATGCAACATTGTACCCATATGAAATTTTGATCATTTTTTTCTCTCACAAATAGAGCTTTCTTTTGGTGGTATTTAATCGCCACTGGGCACTTTACTTTTTGCGCTATAAATTAAAAAAAGTGCAAAAAATTTGAAAAAAAAAAAAAAAAAGTTTGTTTCTTTTATAAAATTTTTCAAACAGGTATTTTTTCTCCTTCACTGATTTGCGTTGATGAGGCGGCACTGATGGGCACTGATAGGCGGCACTGATGGGCACTGATAGGCAGCACTAAAGGGCACTGATAGGCAGTACTAATGAGGTGGCACGGATAGGCGGCACTGATAGACAGCACTAATTAGGGGTCACGGATAGGCGGCACTGATATGCAGCACTGATAGGCGGCACTGATAGGTGACACTGATGATGGGTACTGATAGACGGCACTGACTGGCATCACTTCTGGGCACTGACTGGCGGCACTGACTGGCACAACCCCTGGGCACTGACTGGTGGCACTGACTGGCAGCACTGCTGGGCTGCACTGGTGGGTGGCACTGGTGGGCAGCACTGGTGGGTGGGCACAGGTGGGTGGCACTGGTGGGCACAGGTGGGTGGCACTGGTGGGCACTGGTGGGTGGGCACAGGTGGGTGGCACTTCTGGGCACATGTAGGTGGCACTTCTGGGCACAGGTAGGTGGCACTGCAGAGTGGCACAGGTGGGTGCACTGCTGGGCACAGGTGGGGGCACTGCTGGGCACAGGTGGGGGCACTGCTGGGAACGGGAGTGGGCGGGGCTAGTGGGCGCACTGCTGGGCGGAACTTGCGGGTGTCACTGCTGGGCACCGATCATCAGGGCACTGATCATCAGTGCCCTGATGATCGGTGCCGATCCCCGCTCTGACAACTGCCGGTTCTCGGCAGTACTTTCCTCACGATCTGACAGCGTGAGGAAAGTGCAGCCGAGAACCGGCACTTGCATTTCCCTGTGATCAGCGTGTCATTGGACACCGCTGATCACGTGGTAAAAGGCCGGTGGGATCGGCCTTTCACCACATCACGTGATCAGCTGTGTCCGTAGGACACAGCGATCACGGAGATCGCCGGGTGCGCGCCCCCTGGGGCGCGTAGGAGAGCGCGTTCTGGGAGGACGTCATATGACGTCCACTCAGAACTGGCCGGCCGCGGTGAAGCCGTCATTCGGCTATTCGCGGTCGGCAAGAGGTTAAACATTCACAGTGCTGGAGGAAAAACTAAGTGAATCCAAAACTAATTACTTTTACAAAAGCTAATCGGAATCAGTATAAAGCAGAAATATTCGAGCACTAGGTGAGTAGTATAAATAGCTGCTGGCACATGAAGGCAAACCTCAAGGACCCACGTGTACACAGTGATTAGGGGCACCTCTCTAACGCGTTTCGTGTTCAGACACTTTTTCAAAGTGTACACACCGCATGGCCTATATGGATGGCCGGCGGCCATCTTGGATGTAAGTCTGATTCATCCTTTATATGTTGCTATTTTGACTAATAAAGACATACTACACCATTGGAGGCTTTCTCTTGGGCTCTTTTTCCTTGTGAGCCCCCCTTTTTGAAGGTGACACCTGTTGACCTGTGGCTTGGTATTGTGCATGATGCTCCTGGTGGCTGTTATCAGCATCTCTGGAGGCTGGATACCATATCTGGATTTATGACACCTGGTAGTTGCAGTGCTGATGACTTCAACCGTCTGCAGTGTTCCAGATCCAGAGAACCAGGAGTAGGTCTTATATACTCCATGCACAAGTGATTGCGCTTTCTGGTTAGTGCAATATATATCCATTTTCACTATCACAGGATTCACGGATATTCTTCATCACAAGTTAATTGACTTTATTGCACTTGTCACTTTACACATCCCACTTCATTGGGATTCAGCACCTTTTATGATATCTAAGACTTTGGTATAGATGATTGCTTGTTATAGTTATACCAGCGCTGCATATTTTTTATACTTACTAATTGGAATCAGTAGTTTGCACACCTGGAGTCCAAATAATGAAATGAGTTTGGAGGTGTGGTTTAGAGCTACTTTGATTGACAAAAGGCACTCAATCATTTTAAGATTGCTGTTCAAAAGTAGACTCAGATGATATGAACCATGCTTCACAAAAAGGATCTCTCTGAGGACCTATGATCAAGAGTAGTTGATCAGCATAAGGCTGGAAAGGGATACAAAGCAATCTCAAAGCATTTAGGCATCAATCAGTCAAAAATTCGACAAATTGTCAACAAATGGAGACAATTTAGTACTGTGGCTACTCCTAAAAATGTGCATCCAGCCAAGATGATTTTCAAGGCACAACACAAAATCCTCAATGAGGTAAAAGCCATGCGTAACAACTAAAGACTTGTAGACCTTACTGGAACTGGCAAACATTCCTATTCAAGAGTCTACCATACGTAAGCCTTTGAACATGCAGGGTGTCCATGGCAGAACAACACAGAGGAAGCCATTACACTTACAAAAAAAAAACAAAAAACATTGTTATGCACCTGAAGTTTGCAAGAGAGCATCTTGGCAACCTGCAAAGCTACGGGGGAAAATGTTTTGTGAACTGATGAAACAAGCGTTTGAATTGTTCGGGAAGAATACTCAGCTCTACGTACGGTATGGTGCAAAAAAGGGCACAGCTAACCAACATCAAAACTTCATCCCAATGGTGAAGTATGGTTGAGGAAACATCATGATTTGGGCTTGCTTCACTGCTGCAGGGCCTGGTCCACTTCCCATAATCTAGGGGAAAATTAATTCCCAAGTTTACCAAAATATCCTACAGGATATTGTCAGGGTGGCTGCCACCCAGTTGAAGCTTAGTAGAAGTTGGGTGATGCCGCAGGACAATGACCTTACGCATTAAAGTAAATCCACCACAGACTGGCTCTAGAAAAAGAAAATGCACTTTATGGACTGGCCCAGTCAGAGCCAGACCTTAACCCCATAGAGGTGCCTCTTGTATGTCTTTAAAGGATAAGTTCACCTTTAAAAAAAAAAACAAAAAAAAATGCACATTTTCTTTTTTTTTTTTTTTCGGGTAAAAAAATGTGCATTTGGAATGTGCTTTTCTTGTGCCCGGAAAGCATTGCACCGGCGATTGGCAGATCGCTGGTGTCATGCAGGGCTGCATGTACCTCGTACGGTCAAGCAGTTACACACTGACAGGGAGATTCAATGAACTACCAGAGTGCTTAACAGTGCCATGGTAGTTCATTGAGAACTACAAGCCGTCGGCTGCAAAGGATGTTGATACTTGTAGTACTCAGAACTCTGTGAATGAATGATGCAGCCGTGTGGGCAGAGCCCCACACAGCTGCGTTCTTTTTTCCAAAAGGTGACAGCTGGTACAGGGATCTTCTCCCCTGTACTGCTGTCATACAGAGGCAGCAGATCATCTGTAGGAGTCGGAGCATGTTACATGTTCCACCCTAAAAACGGGTGAACTTATCCTTTTAAGAGAGCCTTTCACACCAGACATCCTACAAATGTTTGTGAGCTGAAGCAGTTTTGTAAAGAGCATTGCTTAAAAATACTTCCTGGACATTGTGCAGGTCTGATCCAGAGCTACTGAAATTGGCTGCTTGAAGTCTTTGCTGACAAAGGAGGTTCGAACAGATTTAACTCCGAGGGTTCACTTACTTTTTCCTCCAGCACTGTGAATGTTTAACTGCTTGCTGACCACTCTATAGTTCAATGATGGCTACAGCGCAGTCAGCTGGTTCTAGGAGGGCATCTATTGATGTCCTCCCAGAACCCCACCTCCCTGTGACCAATGTGTCCTTCGATCACAGCTGATGACAGAGGAAGGTAAAGGGCCAGACACAGCGGCCCTTTACCACATGATCAGCTTTTAATAATCACATGGTAAGTAGACTTGCCTGTTATTGGCAGTCTTCTCTTCAGAGTGGTGCTGTTTCTCCTCCCCCAGCTCTTATGCAGCTGAGAACAACGGGAATGTGATCACCTATTAAAAAGGGAAAAAGGTATTTATAATGGTTTTTATATGTATACACAAATGTTTTGCCTTTCATTTCTATTTTAAAAAAAAAACTGAATAAGTTGTTTTACAAGGTGAGGGTTTACAGTCACTTTAATGATATTTTGTGTGTCCTTTTTTTTTTTTTTTTTTTTTCCTTTCCTAATAAATGTACTATTACATTTCAGTGTTCTGGTAATCCATTATGTGTGAAGCAATGTTTAAACTTAGTTTGCCAGGTTGCATTATTGCTACTGGCTTAGTTATGCTAAAGATTTGGCTGTCCTTAGTTGTTCACATTTTCTCTCTGGACACAATGTCCATCTCCCTTGTAGAGGAGGACATGAATTGTGTAAAAGGTGCAACACACTAGAATTTTGGCATATTTTTATTTGTTAACCACTTGCCCTCCAGAGGATTTACCCCCCCCCCCCCCCTTTTTCTGACCAGGCCAATTTTTGCGATACGGTGCTGTTACTTTAACTGACAATTGTGCGGTTATGCAATACTGCACCCAAATTAAATTAATATCCTTTTTTCCCAACAAATAGAGCTTTCTTTCAGTGGTATTTGATCACCTCTGCGGTTTTTTTTTATTTTTTGTGCTATAAACAAAGACCGACAATTTTGAAAAAAGAAAAATATATTTTTTACATTTTTGCAATAAAACATCCAGTAAAAAAAATTTAAAAATCAAATTTCGGCATGCATTTAGACCAAAATGTATTCTGCTATATGTCTTTAGTTAAAAAAATTCCAATTCGTGTAAATTAATTGGTGTACGTGAAAGTTATAGCGTCTACAAATGGTGTGTGTGTGTATATATATATATATATATATATATATATATATATATATATATATATATATATATATATATTATATTATTTATTTATTTATTACTCTAGTAATGGCGGCGATCAGTGACTAGCGGGACTGCAGCGGGCATTTTGACACTGGGGGGGAACTGACTAACTGCCACTGCCATCCCAATGAACTAATACAGTGATCAGTGCTAATGAAAAGCACTGGCACTGTACTAATGACACTGGGCAGGGAGAGGTTAACATCTGGGGTGATCAAAGGGTTAACTGTGTGCTGTTTTACATTATGTGTTTTGTGTGTTTTTACTAGGGAAGCATGCTGTGCAGAGAGATACAAAGCAGCATGTCCTTGTTGGCAGGAGAGAGAACTGTGTTGTTTGCACACAGGTCTCTCCCCTCTCAGCTTTACACGGTGATCGCTGGGTGCTGGGGGGGAATCTCCTGGTGATTGACATCCCTAGCTGCCAATGGCAAAGCGTGCAGAGTGGCACGTGCCCTATCCAGAATTGCGGATTACGTGTATATACACAGCCCTGTCGCCCTGTAGCAGTAGTTCTACTATAGGCTGACGGGAAAGCGGTTAAATAAAAAAAAACTATATGTTTTAAAACAAACATAAATTTACTTTACTCAGTCATTAAGACATTTACCTTCTTGTATTGCAGATCCAGATGATCAATACAAATTAACAGAAGACACACGACAACTTGGACTTGTTGTTTGCAGAGGGACATCTGTGGTTCTTATATGCCCACAAGATGGCATGGAGGCTATTCCAAACCCTTTCATTCAACAGCAAGACGGTTAATATTTCTACAAAGATAACTCAACCGAACAGATTCTATTAGGATACAGCATACTTCAAGTTGAAGACTTTTTTTGTTTGTTTTTAAGATTAAAAGAAAAAAAGAATCCTATTTTTGTGGTGGCAGACATGAGCCATGTACAGCAAGTCAGGACTTGCTCTGTAAGTTAAATATACTTTTGTTTTAGTCATGCTTTATTTTTATAGTGACTCACAATTAGTGTGGTCATGCTGTGAGTTTTGTTGTTTTGTTCATTTTCAATCAATTTTTATTGAAAAGTATTCAAGTTACAATAAAACCTGTTAAAACTATGCAAAAGTGGTTCATCATTAGGAAAAGGTGTTATTACTAAGAGTTAAATTCTCAGAACAAGGTTGTTGCTTTTGTATGGAATATTCAATCGAGAGTAAAGGAGTACTTTCTTGTATGATAAAAATCCTATAGATGTGTTGGTAGGGGGGTACTCTTGTATTTATTACATACCCAAATACCCACAGTGGTAAACTCGCGTAAAACAGCTTTACTGCAGTGTCTCTAGAAGAAAACCTGGTTTTAGAAAGAAGCAGAAAGTAGCTGGAAAGGGGGAAAGGGAGAGTACCCTGGAGTAAGACAGCCCTCCAAACCTTTGGTAGGCATATCAGTGTATGGGAGTGAACGAGCGTTACATTTGTGTTAAAAATAATAGTGTGTTTGACCACTTGCCTACTGGGCACTTTTACCCCCTTCCTGCCCAGGCCAATTTTCAGCTTTCAGTGCTGTCACACTTTGAAAGACAATTGCACTGTCATGCAACACTGTACCCATATGAAATTTGTATCATTTTGTTTTTCACACAAATAGAGATTTTTTTTTTTGGTATTTAATCACCTCACCACTGGGGTTTTTATCTTCTGCACTATAAACAAAAAAAGAGTGCATATTTTGGGGAAAAAAAGTTTTCTTTGTTTCGATTATAAAATTTTGCAAACAGGTAATTTTTTTCCTTTACTGATGTGCGTTGAAGCTGCATTGATAGGCAGCACTGATGGTCATTGATTAGAAGGTACTGATGATGCACTGATATGTGGCACTGATGGGCATTAATAGGTAGCACTGAAGGGCACTGATAGACGGCACTGAACAGGCACAGATTGGCTGCACTGATAAGCGGGGCACTGATGTCTCCTTTGACAGTTACCGGTTACCGGCATTACTTTCCTCATGCTGTGACAGCATGAGTAAAGTACTGCCAAAAACCAGCAAGTGTATTTACATGGTGTTCAGCTGTGATTGGACACAGCTGACCACGTGGTAAAAGGCTGCTGTGATTGGCCTTTTACCATGTCATGTGATCAGCTGTGTCCAAAGGACACTGTGATCAGACAGTGCCGGGCGCGTTTATGTCCAGACACACAAATGCATTGGGAGCACTGCACAGTCTATTCCAAATCAAAACATATAGAAAAATGTTTCAAACTTGTCATTACTTTACAGAAAGAGAAGAAAAAGGAGTATAAGGCTGTTCAAAAAAAAAAAAAAAAACAAATAGCAGTGTCTGCATTTTTCTTTACCAATTCAAACATTTACTGTGTAAACTGAAAAATGTTTAAATATTTAGCTTTCCTATAAATCACTGAACCAATATTTAATTGTATAAGCACTGTTTCTGAGAACTGCTTCACATCTGTGTTGCATGGAGTCACCCAACTTCTGGCACCTGTGATCAGGTATTTCAGCCCAGGGCAATTGCCCTACATTCCACAATTTCTCTGCATTTCTTGGTTTTACCTCCGAAAGATTTTTTTTAAGTCATCCTACAAGTTTTCTATTGTATTGGTTCAGAGATTGGGCTGGCCACGCCATAATGTTAATCTTGTTGGTCTGTAACCAAGATGTTGCACGTTTACTGGTGTGTTTGGGGTCATTGTCTTGTTGGAACACCCATTTCAAGGGCATTTCCTCTTCGGCATATGGCAGCATGACCTCTTCAAGGTATTCAAACTGATCCATGATCCCTGGTATGCGATAAAATAGGCCCAACACCATAGTATGAGAAACATCCCCATATCATGATGCTGGCGCCACCATGCTTCACTGTCTTCACAGTGTACTGTGGCTTGAATTCAGTGTTTGGGGGTCGTCTGACAAACTGTGGCCCCAGACCGAAAAAGAATAATCTTGCTTTCATCAGTCCACAAAATGTTGCGCCATTTCTCTTTAGGCCAGTCAATGTGTTCTTTGGAAAATTGTAACCTTTTCAGCACATGTTGATTCTTGCAGATAGATTGGCTTCACATAGGCGTCTTCTAATTGTTACAGTACTCACAGGTAACTTTAGACCTTCTTTGATCACCGTGGAGCTGATCATTGGCTGAGTCTTTGCCATTTTGGCTATACATTCGAATGGTTGTTTTTTTTATTTCCTTCCATGTCTTTCTGGTTGCCATTTTAAAAGCATTTGCGATCATTTTAGCTGAGCAGCCTATCAGTTTCTGCACTTCTTTATACGTTTTCCCCTCTCCTGTTAGATTTTTAATCAAAGTACACTGTTCTTCTGAACAGTGTTTGGAACAAATCATTTTGCTTAGATTTTCTGAGAGAAATGCACTATACCGAGCATGTACATTTGCTGACTCCGTCCTTAAATAAGGGCCACCTGTTTGACACCTGTTTTTTCAGATTGAATGACCTCACTAATAGAACTCCACACTGCTATTATTTTGAACATACCCCTTTCAATTAATTATTCAATTACACAGACTCCGCAGCATGCATGTCATGACTGTTGGGTCTGTTGGTTTTCTATTTCTCTACTACACCTACTAGTAAATTATTTGCCATGTAGAAATAGAATTTATACCAAAACAGTAATTGATCAGGTTAGTGATGTTGGAAAAATTGTTATGTTTGTGTTTCCCATTCACACACTAAAAATAATTGAATTAAAATATATAATTTTTTTTTTATCATTCAGTTATATATATATATATAGATAGATAGATAGATAGATAGATAGATAGATAGTGTTGGAAACATTCCTCAGATTTTGGTCCATATTGACATGATAGCATCACGCAGTTGCTGCAGATTTGTCAGCTGCACCTCCATGATGTGAATCTCCTGTTCCACCACATCCCAAAGGTGCTCTATTGATTTGAGATCTGTGACTGTGGAGGCCATTGGAGTACAGTGAACTCATTGTTATGTTCAAGAAACCAGTTTGAGATGATTTGAGCTTTGTGACATGGTGCATTATTCTGCTGCAAGTAGCCATCAGAAGATGGGTACACTGTGGTCAAAAAGGGATGGACATGGTCAGCAACAATACTCAGGTAGGCCGTGGCATATAAACAATGCTCAGTTGGTACTAAGGGGCCCAAAGTGTGCCAAGAAAATATCCCCCACACCATTACACCAGCAGAACCAGCCTGAACCGTTGATACAAGGCAGGATGGATCCATGCTTTCATGTTGTTTATGCTGAATTCTGACCATACCATCTGAATGACACAGCTGAAATTAAGACTCATCAGACCAGGCAACGTTTTTTCCAACCTTCTATTGTCCAATAATGTGAATTGTAGCCTCCGTTTCCTGTTCTTTATGACGAGTGTCACCCGGTGTGGTCTGCTGCTGTAGCCCACCTGTTTCAATGAGCCGTTGGTTCAATCAAATGCAGTGAGGGGGAAGTGGGGAGCAGGGCTAAGTCCCACTGTGTGTGTGTCTATGGAGTGAGGCTCCATAGACACACAGCTCAGGAGCAAGCAGACATTGTGTGCCCACATAGCAAACGGCTTGCTATGGGGACACATAAAGATGAGAAGGAGCCAAGATCACTGCCGAAGGACCTGAGAAGAGGAGGATTGGGGCCGCTCTGTACAATACCACTGAACAGAGCAGGTGAGTATAACTTGATGGTTATTTTAACCACCTCCTGCCTGCCATATAAGGAAATGACGGAGGGCGGCGGTTCTCTTGTTCTGGGAAGACGTCATATGACGTCCTCCTACTCTAGCTGTGCATTTGCACCCCCGGGGGGCGTTCTGCATGGTGAATGGTGGTGCGCTGTGCCCCTGGGACACAGCGGATCACTGATTGCAGTAAGGAGCTGATGACATCGTATCTATCGTGATCAGCTGATCGCATGTAAATAGGAAATGCCAATTATCGGGAGTCCTCACGCTGACAGCGTATGAGGAGAGTAGAGCTATTTATACAGAGATACTAATTGCAATTTAACCACTTGCCTACAGGGCACTTCTACCCCCTTCCTGCCCAGGCCAATTTTTAGCTTTCAGTGCTGTCACACTTTGACAATTGTGCAGTCATGCAACACTGTAACCATATGAAATTATCAATTTTTTTTTTTTGAGACAGATTTCTTTTGCTGGTATTTAATCACCTCTGGGGTTTTATTTTCTAAACAATCCAAAACATTTTGAGAAAAAAAAAGTTTTTTCTTAGTCTGTTATAACATTTTTTTCATTGATTGCACTAATAAGGCTGCACTGATGGGCACTGGTAGGCGGCACTGGCACTGATAGGTGGCACTGGCTGGCACTGATAGGTGGCACTGAAAGGCAGCTCAGATGGGCACTGATATGTGGCTTTGATGTGCACTGGTAGGCACTGATATGTGGCATTGATGTGGCACTGACAGGTGCATTGATGTACACTGACAGGTGGCACTGATGGGGCTACACTGATCATCAGGGCACACTGATCATCAGTGCCCTGATGATCAGTGTAAATGTCCCCTCTGAGTAATGCCGATTACTGACTCTCCTCTCCTAACGACCTGTCAGCGTGACAGCTTGTGAGGAGAGGAATGACGTTAACGGGCATTTTCATATTTACAAGCGATCAGCTGTGAATGGACACAGCTGTTCACATGACAGAGCTGACATCTTCAGCTCTTTCGTTAATAATCAGTGATCCGCTGTGTCCGAGGGACACAGCGCACCACCATTCGGCACGCACGCACGGTTAGAGTGGTATGATCACTATCCTTAACCAAGAACCAG